TGGCGGTCCCTTTCTGTGTGCTTGTGTGGCCTACCACTTCGCGGCTGAGCCGTTGTTGCTCCTAGACATTTCCACTTCACAATAACAGCACTTACAATCGACCTGGGAAACTCTAGCAGGGCAGATATTTTATGAACTGACTTGTTGGAAAGGTGGTATCCTATGACAGTGTCACATTGAAAGTCACTGAGATCTTCTGTAAGGCCATTCTACTGCCATGTCATGAGTCCAAGAAGTTAGTTCAAAAAGGGTAAATGCAGATAGTCTGGGTAGCTATTTGGTTAACTTCTATATTTAACTAACTATTTAGTAGTCTTATGGCTTGGGGGTAGAAGCTGTTCATCCTCCTCCCTATAGGCCGTCTCATCGTCGTCGGTGATCCGGTCTACTACTGCCGTGTCATCAGCAAACTTAAGGATGGTGTTGGAGTCGTGGACAGCCACGACTGGGGCGGCAGGTAGCTTAGTGGGTAAGAGCGTTGTGCCAGTAACCGAAAGGTCGCTGGTTCTAATCCCCGAGCCGACTAGGTGAAAAATCTGTCGATGTGCCCTTGAGCAAGGCACTTAACCCTAATTGCTCCTGTAAGTCGCTCTGGATAAGAGCGTCTGCTAAATGACTAAAATGTAAAATGTAAATGTAAGTCACGGGGGAACAGGGAGTACAGAAGGGGACTAAGCACCCTTGTTGAGGGTAGCATATTTTTGACGTAATGTTATCAGATCTTCAACCAAAACCTAATATTAGATAAAGGGAACCTGAGTGAACAAATAGCACAAACATTTGATACCTATTTCATAAAAGTGAAAAAGTGATTGCCCCCTTACATTCAATAATTTATTGTGCCACCTTTAACTGAAATGACTGCATCCAAATGCTTCCTGTAGTTGTTGATCAGTCTCTCACATCACTGTGGAGGAATTTTGGCCCACTCTTCCATGCAGAACTCCTTTAAAGCAGCGACATTTGTGGATTTTCAAGCATGAACTGCTAGTTTCAGGTCCTGCCACAACATCTCAATCGGGCTTAGGTCTGTGTTGCTTTTCAGCCATTCTGATGTAGACTTGCTTGTGTGTTTTGGATCATTGTGGCAGGACATTAAACGAGCAGTTCATGCTCGAAAACCCACAAATGTTGCTGAGTTAAAGAAGTTCTGCATGGATGAGTGGGCCAAAATTCCTCCACAGTGATGTTAAACTGATCACCAGCTACAAGAAGTGTTGGGTCTCAGTCATTGCAGCTAAATGTGACACGACCAGTTATTGAGTGTAAGGGGGCATTGGGTGTTGCTTAACTTTGTTTATTAAATAAACTAAATAAGTGTAATTTTCTTTGTTTTTTTGTTAACTCAGGTTCCCTTTATCTAATATTAGGGTTTGGTTGGAGATTTGATAACATTTGGTGTAAATAAATATGCACAAACAGAGAACATCTGGGGCCAAATTCTTTTTCACGGCAATCTAGGTGTTCCTTTTGTCCAAGTGGGAAAGGGCAATGTGGAGTGCAATAGAGATTGCGTCATCTGTGGATCTGTCGGGGCGGTATGTGAATTGGAGTGAGTCCAGGGTGTCTGGGATGATGGTGTTGGTGTAAGTCATGACCAGCCTTTCAAAGCATTTCATGGCTACAGATGTGAGTGCGATGGGGCGATTCATTTAGACAGGTTACCTTCGTGTTCTTGGGCACCGGGACAATGGTGATCTGCTTGAAACATGTAGGTATTACAGACTGGGTCAGGGAGAGGTTGAAAATGTCAGTGAAGACACTTGCCAGCTGGTCAGCGCATGCTCTGAGTACTCGTCCTGGTAATCCATCTGGCCCCACGGCCTTGTGAATGTTAACCTGTTTAAAGGTCTTACTCACATCGGCTATGGAGAGCTTGATCACACGGTCGTCCAGAATAGCTAGTGCACTCACGCATGGTTCAGTAACGCTTGTCTCGATGCGACTGTAGAAGGCATTTAGTTTGTCTGGTAGTCTTGCGTCACTGGGCAGCTTGCAGCTGGGTTTCCCTTTGTAATCCATGATAGTTTGCAAGCCCTGCCACATCCGACCTTTGTCAGAGCCGGTGTTGTAGGATTCGATCTTAGTCCTGTATTGACGCTTTGCCTGTTTGATTGTTTGTCGGAGGGTGTACCGGGATTTCTCATAAGCCTCCGGGTTAGTGTCCCGCTCCTTGAAAGTGTCAGCTTTAGCCTTTAGCTCAGTGAGGATGTTGCCTGTAATTCATAGCTTCTGGTTGGGTAATGTACGTATGGTCACTGTGGGGTTGATGTCGTCGATGCACTTATTAATGAAGCCGGTAACTGATGTTGTAATCTCCTCAATGCCATCGGATGAGTCCCAGAACATATTCCAGTCTGTGCTCGCGAAACAGTCCTGAACTTAGCATTCGCTTCATCGGACCACTTACTTATTGAGCGCGTCCTGTTTTGAGTTTTTGCTTGTAAGCAGGAATCAGGAGGATAGAGTTATGGTCAGATTTGCCAAATGGAGGGCGAGGGAGAGCTTTGTATGTATCTCTGTGTGTGGAGTAAAGGTGATAGAAAGTTTATTTGCCTCTAGATGCACAGGTGACATGCTGGTATAAATTAGGTAAAAAATAGTGCCTATAATAGTTTTTTTTAAACGGCACTTTGTCATATATTATCTCAAAATGTAGTCTGAGCATGAGGTAAACATAATGGAAGATCATGGATAATTAGAAATGTAAGAAAACCTTTTGAGGGACATTGCACTATATACCTCCTGAAAACGCATTTGTTTCAATGTAATTGAATATTCATGTTTGGACATACAACATTACCATAATTTGCACAAATAAATATATAAAGAAAATACATGCCATCAGCCCTTATTTAACAATGCTAACCTACCTATTTTTTGTGATATTGTTGAAATTTGACTCATTTTAGGAAACTAGGCATATGCCACGCATCACCACTTCACAGGAGAGGCATTTTAACATTTTTATTTTATCAAAATGCTTTTTTTGGGGCAGAAATGCCTTCTGGAACATGTGAATTTTCATGTGCCTTAAAAACAAACTTGTATGCCATCTGTAAATACGAATAAAATTGTTAAATTACGAGCCTAGTTGGTTTAGCCACGGAAAAAGACAGGAACCTTCCCGCTAGCCATGATTGGCTGAGATATTGGATGGGCTGGACATGCCGAGAGATGAGTTCGGATTGGTCTGCCATGTAGCACGCTTCTGTCTATAACATGAGCTGCTCAGTGTGTGTAGGTCATCCTTTCTAAAGCGGCTTTTTAAAAAGATATCACGAAGAACTGCACGTGTTGCTAAGGCTCTCCACTTTCTGGAGGACCGAGTTTTGAAATCAGTGGAATGCCCGGTGGAAGCAGAGTATGATAGCTAAGGAGATGGAGAAAATTCAGGCATTTGATTGCAAATGCGGAGGGAGTCGAAAAGAGAACACAGAAGGCTGTTGTATAAAACACCTGTCTCCGGATTACATCTTCAAACTAAGGGCGACCAGGGCATCCGTGACAGAGAGGGAGAAACGTTCATCCATGTATAAGGGTAAGAGAGTTTAGCTAGCTACATTCGCGGATTTTATAAGTTTCTAATTTTGTCAGAAAGTCGTTTTCATTGCAAGTTAAAGCGTACTGTTAGCGAGCTAACTAACGTTAGCTGGCTGGCTCGATGATCTTTTGTAGTAATGTTATTCGTATCTCTGAGCCATTTGCATTGCTAGTTATAGCCTAATGTTAGCTATCTAGCTAACATTGAACGTAGCTAGTTTGTTAGCTTTAGCTACCTGTAGGTTAATGTAGGGTAGTAACGTTATGAGTTGGGATTATGGTTAATTGTTTAGCTAGCTAGTTAGCTACATATCTAAACAAAAGACTCCACTATGCAAGTAACCATTTCACTGTACTGTTTACACCTTCTAACAAGCTAGAAACTAACCAAAAACATTGCTTAGAAAGTTGCCTTTAGTTGCCTGATTTGCTAGATTGACATATACTAAATACATTTTCAAACAGATGGGTTTATTGGTGTTAAAAAACACAAATTATGCTATTTTGGACCCCCAGGCTGCTGATGTCATGCAGCCTGTCATTTTTGTGTTTATACTTTTTCATAACGACAACAACATGTTTGATGTCGGACGACAATAGAATGTTCTTTATGTCACTGCGACAACTGTATACAGACATGTCGATAGAAGTAGTATAAACCAGCCTTTAGTCTTAATCTTTGGTTGTACACTACCGTACTCACTGTTTAGCACATGGCCTCACATGTGAATCCTTAAAGAGATGGGTGGGGCTAAGGCTTAAGAGGGTGTGAACAATGCTGAATGGGTGTAGAAAAAGAAGAGCTCTCCAGTTGGTGTCCCAAAACATTCAAGGGCCAGTTTCTGAAAGGTGGGGCAGAATTACTTTCCCATTTGTTCCTCAACTGCAGTGTATGATATACCATTTTCTAGCTCTGAGTCTCTACTTTTATCCAATGTAAAAAACACAATTTCAAATGTTGCTAGAAAAGTCAGAATCGAGGAGGTCGATCACAAATGCTATGCAAATTGCGATTCTAATATGGCATTGCTGATATGACCTTGTTTTGACTTCCCAACCGCCTATTAGAGCTCTGTTATTTCCAAAATAAACCATAAAGTTGAAAAAGAACTATGGGAAGTTCTTATTTGAGTTGATAGGAATTTAAGGGGAATAACCTTTTTTTCAATGTGTTTTTCAAGAAGAGACAGTTAAAGGGTTAATGCAATATTTTACATAGTGCAGCATTTCAATTACATTAATGATGTGTTGATGTGAGTCATCTTCAGTGCATAACATTCTAAAGTGGCTTTCTCAGGTTGCCGTCTATTCTAGAACCTCAACAGAAACACAGTAGATAGGCCTATCATAGAATCTGAATAAATTGTAATTGAATCAGATCAAATGCTTTCTAATTCCATATGGTGGAGAGAGCGAATGGCTACATTCCAAATATCCACACTAGCATACAACTTAAAATGGAGCAATGTATTGGGCATGCTTTCTAAGTGGAATTCTAGTGTGGATATTGGAGCAGAGCCTTTATTTCTCCAGTAGGCTACAGTTGACCTAGTGACACAGCCAGGTAACTACCCTACATAACTCTGCTAATACCATTACACTGCCTGCCACTGTGCCAGTTAATCATGTGTGACCAAGCAGACTTACTTAGCGGACTGGTTCTTACCAGAGTTACTGTATCGGTAGACTGGTTCTTATCATCTGCAGTGTAATGGTCATTGGGACAGGATGGACTGGGTTCCTCTCTCTGCTCCTTAAAGCACGATTAAACAATCAAGGACAGGTAGAGACTGGCAGGAGCTTGCCTTGCACCCCACCGCGCTTCCTTTACAAAGGGCCTGGAGTTTTTCCTAAACCATAACCTGGCCAGGACAAACAAGGGCCCGGAGTTTCCCTTGGCCAGGACATGCTTCAGTCACACCATCCTAAATCTGTAACTAGCACAGTCATTCCTCTGAGTAAGATCAAGTTGCCCCTAGAAATGGACAAACATGAAATACAATGCAATTGCAACAAGTGAGTTCTAGCCCTTAAGCCAAACCTTTCATATCCTCCACAGGTAGGCCCATCTCGCGACATCTTCTCCCCACTCTTGGTGCCTCTCCCCTGGAGAGGACAGATGCGGAGGCAGCCTCTCCGTCTTCCTCCTCAATGGTGGCAGGGCCCTCCACACTGTGGTGTCTGGCAAAGCGGAGGAGTAGGAAGGCGGGCTCAGGGAACATCTTTGGCGGGGTGAGTTTGATATTATTTAGGATGTGGATATTCAGTCAGCAGATCTAAAGGTAAAGTTTCAGCATAGGGATTGACAATGGTTAAGGTAAGGTTAGGGTTAAGGAGGTTTCTGGTAAAAGAGGATGTGTTCTCACTTCTCAATTACTTAACTGGTTAAAAACAGGCAAAATAAATACAACTGCTAATTATGTACAGTGGGGAAAAAAAGTATTTAGTCAGCCACCAATTGTGCAAATTTTCCCACTTAAGAAGATGAGAGAGGCCTGTAATTTTCATCATAGGTACACGTCAACTATGACAGACAAATTGAGAATTTTTTTTCCAGAAAATCACATTGTAGGATTTTTAATGAATTTATTTGCAAATTATGGTGGAAAATAAGTATTTGGTCACCTACAAACAAGCAAGATTTCTGGCTCTCACAGACCTGTAACTTCTTCTTTAAGAGGCTCCTCTGTCCTCCACTCGTTACCTGTATTAATGGCACCTGTTTGAACTTGTTATCAGTATAAAAGACACCTGTCCACAACCTCAAACAGTCACACTCCAAACTCCACTATGGCCAAGACCAAAGAGCTGTCAAAGGACACCAGAAACAAAATTGTAGACCTGCACCAGGCTGGGATGACTGAATCTGCAATAGGTAACCAGCTTGGTTTGAAGAAATCAACTGTGGGAGCAATTATTAGGAAATGGAAGACATACAAGACCACTGATAATCTCCCTCGATCTGGGGCTCCACGCAAGATCTCACCCCGTGGGGTCAAAATGATCACAAGAACGGTGAGCAAAAATCCCAGAACCACACGGGGGGAACTAGTGAATGACCTGCAGAGAGCTGGGACCAAAGTAACAAAGCCTACCATCAGTAACACACTACGCCGCCAGGGACTCAAATCCTGCAGTGCGAGACGTGTCCCCCTGCTTAAGCCAGTACATGTCCAGGCCCGTCTGAAGTTTGCTAGAGTGCATTTGGATGATCCAGAAGAGGATTGGGAGAATGTCATATGGTCAGATGAAACCAAAATAGAACTTTTTGGTAAAAACTCAACTCGTCGTGTTTGGAGGACAAAGAATGCTGAGTTGCATCCAAAGAACACCATACCTACTGTGAAGCATGGGGGTGGAAACATCATGCTTTGGGGCTGTTTTTCTGCAAAGGGACCAGGACGACTGATCCGTGTAAAGGAAAGAATGAATGGGGCCATGTATCGTGAGATTTTGAGTGAAAACCTCCTTCCATCAGCAAGGGCATTGAAGATGAAACGTGGCTGGGTCTTTCAGCATGACAATGATCCCAAACACACCGCCCGGGCAACGAAGGAGTGGCTTCGTAAGAAGCATTTCAAGGTCCTGGAGTGGCCTAGCCAGTCTCCAGATCTCAACCCCATAGAAAATCTTTGGAGGGAGTTGAAAGTCCGTGTTGCCCAGCGACAGCCCCAAAACATCACTGCTCTAGAGGAGATCTGCATGGAGGAATGGGCCAAAATACCAGCAACAGTGTGTGAAAACCTTGTGAAGACTTACAGAAAACATTTGACCTGTGTCATTGCCAACAAAGGGTATATAACAAAGTATTGAGAAACTTTTGTTATTGACCAAATACTTATTTTCCACCATCATTTGCAAATAAATTCATTAAAAATCCTACAATGTGATTTTCTGGATTTTTTTTTCTCATTTTGTCTGTCATAGTTGGCGTGTACCTATGATGAAAATTACAGGCCTCTCTCATCTTTTTAAGTGGGAGAACTTGCACAATTGGTGGCTGACTAAATACTTTTTTTCCCCACTGTATGCAATTGATTTACAGTAGGTAAACAGCTGATCGTGCACATACATTTTAAAAAATCAATTTTGATGTCCCCCCCAGGTGAATCTGTGTCAGCTGCAGGAGTTGTTGACGGCGGCTGGGGACCAGGATGCAGAGCAGAGGGCCCAGCTGGTGTGGGGCTACAGGGACGAGGCTGAGCTGGTCCAGGCCCTGATGGGACTGAGGACCAGTGGCCAACGGAGCGGACTCAGGGTGGAGGGGAGAGACACACTGGGGCCTCGCTGGCTCCGGGCGTTTAATCATCTGAGGTGGGTTTCAGTAATATGTGTGTGTGTGTGTGTGTGTGTATACAGTACCAGTCAAAAGTTTGGACACACCTACTCATTCAAGGGTTTTTCTTTATTTTTATTATTTTCCACATTGTAGAACAATAGTGAAGACATCAAACTATGAAATAACACATATGGAATCATGTAGTAACCAATAAAGTGTTAAACCAATGAAAATATATTTTATATTTGACATTCTTCAAATAGCCACCCTTGATGACAGCTTTGCACACTCTTGGCATTCTCTCAACCACACACACACACACACACACACACACATACACACACAGTGTGGAGAGGGTGACATGGAAAGACACAATGGGACCACGCTGGTTACTGAGGTTGGTCAGACTCAGGACACACACAAAGCTCTCAATGTCCTCACATTCTCCACACTCTTGTACGTATACACACACAGACCTGCTGAGAAAGCTGCAGATTTCTAAATCATGAAGTCACAAACAAGAGATTTAAAATGTCTCATTAATCCTTCATAACGTCCTCACACAGCACAATAACTCCCTGGACTTTGTGGCTCTTTAATCATTTGACCTAAATAATATTTCAACAAAGGCGTCCTGTGGCTTGTTTCTACAGGATTGATGAGAGTTGGAGATGGAATCTGAGATGGAGTCTGGAGCAGCTCACAGCAGCCCACACACACAGCCACGGACTCCTAAGGGCCTCATAGGAGCTACAGGGGTCACAGAGGTCTTAACCAAGGGCATGCAGGGGCTCCTGAGAGGCCAGCCAGACCAGAACCACTACTGAAGAAGGGAGGGGAGCAGTGATGACAACTTAGCAATTTTGTTGCTAGATTTAGCAACGTTTCAGACTACCCTGGCAACTTTTTTTTCAAACAGCACCTAGCAGGCCAGCCAAGCAGCACAACAACCTGGAGAGAGCTGGAGAGAGATGCCTAGCGCACACATCATTATTTGAGTTAAGTTGCTTGTTCAATAAGATAGCATATATACCTTGTTATTAGCTTGTACCTATAATTGTTGAACAGTTAGGTAGCATGTTAACTAACTACCAATACACTGCTTAAAACTATAATTGTTCAGAATGTGTAGGTTTACTAGTTAATAAGAAAATAAATAAAATGTAATTGTTCAATAATGTGTAATTGTTCAATAATTCAATGTGTTATATCTGATCATATAAAATGTGTTGTGTTTATATTACTTAAAAAAAATAAAAGTGATAATAAACAAACAAATCTAAACTAACAAATGTCAAATCATATTTGTCGCCGAGATGGCAAGTTAATTTGAGTAACGTTATTGTGTATACTACGTAATGACGCAGTTTTACGTTATTACGTAATGACATCATCACGCAATGACATCACAATGTCATTTAGCAACTTTTAGCAACAAATCGACCTGCCTCTAGCAACTTCCCCTGAAAATGAGTTGGCAACACTGGAGGGGAGAGCGACCTGGAGAGGTACCGCCACCGCATCCGCCACTGACGGACACACAGAGGAGTAGGATGGCGTTGCTGCCCCTAGTTTTTCCCTTTCCCCCGCTAATGGCTGAAGTAAGGATAAGGGGATGGGAAGCTGGTCCTTGATCTGTGGTTAGGAACAACTTCTATGTGGAGTATTGACTAACCCTAGTTCCGAGTGGGACAGATGTCTGTGTACATATTGAGACAGAGGAAAGAAACTGTCAAAGACACTGTACCTTTCTACCGCTCTGTCCAACCAAGATACAGATACATGAAGAACAAACTGGATCTACAAGATGGGGAACACTTGGAGATTTGATGGCCTCTGTTGTTCCAAACACTCTTGTTGTTTGACTCTTCAGCACTGAGTGTCACGTATCAAACCTTGAACCAGACATGTCAAGATGCATCAACAGAAAGAAAGTAAAGGAAAATTAGTTGATTTAGACGTTCTAGGTAGAGCTGCTGTTTCCCCCTTTTGCACACACACAGGCTCTCAGTAGAGCTTGTGGCGCTTAACATTTTAGACAGGTTTCTACTCGTAAACCAACGGCATCAGCAGCAAGCTAGCTCAGCTGCACAGTCATACCGTTTTATCTTTTATTTAACCTTTAACCTTTAGTAATGCTGAGACCACGGTCTCTTTCGCAGATGACTCCTGCATGAACACATCAACAATGACACTATACACATCTATATACACAACAGTTACACAATACATGAAAAGCACACACAAAACACAAAAAGCAAAACACAATCATATGAAACAAACACATTCTTCAGCAACAAATATAAAAAATCCTTGGTTCTCTATAGAACTTTCAGATCGTGTTAAAATGAGACATCAGGCCTGGGCCAAAAGAAAATAACAGAACTCTTCTGTGGCTCGCCCGCCACAACTATAACGTCTCCACGACTGAACTGTGTAATGACATACACCAGCACCATTATATACAGTATCTCCGGTATAACCAATCAAGAGACTACCCATCTGTTCCAATTCATTCCCTAACCCTTCAAGGTTTCCAGATTTGTAAAGTGTAGACAATATGGTGGAAGTTCAACTACTACACTGCTTATACCTATCCAGACCCTTTGGAGCTGATAACATCGGAGGGTTAGCTTCAAGGGGAAGGGAGCGAATTGGCACCGGCAATGAGGCTCCATCCAGAAACAACCAGGTTATGGTGAATTCCAGATCTATCCTTAGCTCTTACTCCCTGGTCACTCCTGTAGATCAATGGCTGAGTTTACACAGACAGCCCAATTCTGATCTTTTTCCCAATTATTGGTCTATTGGCAAAACAGATCAGATATTTATAATTGGGCAAAATAATCTGAATTGGGCTGCCTGTGTAAACACATCATAAGAGTATTGGATAGGTGGAGGCAATATGCCCTCCTGGAGAGCTACTATGCGTCTGCAAGCTTGATCTGATTGAATCTAGGCCAATATTAAAAGGTTCTCCAACCCTCTTCCTGGACAGCTACCCTCCTGTAGATTTTTTGCTCCAACCCCAGGCTTGATTAGCTGAATCATTAGCCGATACCTAGTATCTTTTCAGGAGGAGGGTGGTGGGAGGCCTTGATTAGCTTAATCATTAGCTGATACCTAGTACCTTTTCAAGAGGAGGGTGGTGGGGACATGATTAGCTGAATCATTAGCTGATACCTAGTACCTTTTCAGGAGGAGGGTGGTGGGGGGACTTGATTAGCTGAATCATTAGCTGATACCTAGTACCTTTTCAGGAGGAGGGTGGTGGGGGGCCTTGATTAGCTTAATCATTAGCTGATACCTAGTACCTTTTCAGGAGAAGGGTGGTGGGGACTTGATTAGCTGAAACATTAGCTGATACCTAGTACATTTTCAGGAGGAGGGTGGTGGGGGGCCTTGATTAGCTTAATCATTAGCTGATACCTAGTACCTTTTCAGGAGTAGGGTGGTGGGGGGCCTTGATTAGCTGAATCATTAGCTGATACCTAGTACCTTTTCAGGAGGAGGGTGGTGGTGGGGGGGCTTGATTAGCTTAATCATTAGCTGATACCTAGTACCTTTTCAGGAGGAGGGTGGTGGGGGGCCTTGATTAGCTTAATCATTAGCTGATACCTAGTACCTTTTCAGGAGGAGGGTGGTGGTGGGGGGGCTTGATTAGCTTAATCATTAGCTGATACCTAGTACCTTTTCAGGAGGAGGGTGGTGGGGGGCCTTGATTAGCTTAATCATTAGCTGATACCTAGTACCTTTTCAGGAGGAGGGTGGTGGGGACTTGATTAGCTGAATCATTAGCTGATACCTAGTACCTTTTCAGGAGGAGGGTGGTGGGGGGCCTTGATTAGCTGAATCATTAGCTGATACCTAGTACCTTTTCAGGAGGAGGGTGGTGGGGGGCTTTGATTAGCTTAATCATTAGCTGATACCTAGTACTTTTTCAGGAGGAGGGTGGTGGGGACTTGATTAGCTGAATCATTAGCTGATACCTTGTACCTTTTCAGGAGGAGGGTGGTGGGGACTTGATTAGCTGAATCATTAGCTGATACCTAGTACCTTTTCAGGAGGAGGGTGGTGGGGACTTGATTAACTGAATCATTAGCTGATACCTAGTACCTTTTCAGGAGGAGGGTGGGGGGGGACTTGATTAGCTTAATCATTAGCTGATACCTAGTACCTTTTCAGGAGGAGGGTGGTGGGGGGACTTGATTAGCGAAATCATTAGCTGATACATTTACATTTACATTTTACCTAGTACCTTTTCAGGAGGAGGGTGGTGGGGGGCCTTAATTAGCTTAATCATTAGCTGATACCTAGTACCTTTTCAGGAGGAGGGTGGTGGGGGGACTTGATTAGCTAAATCGTTAGCTGATACCTAGTACCTTTTCAGGAGGAGGGTGGTGGGGGGACTTGATTAGCTTAATCATTAGCTGGGGGGGGGGGGGGGGGGGGGGGGGGGGGGGTAACAACAGAACTTTCAGACTAATGTATCACGTAGAACAGATACATCAACCTCCGTGCTGAACAGATATGATTGTCTGTCAGAAGAGGAAATTGTCAGCTCTGTTCTTTTTCTATTTGCAACATTCAGAACATTTCACACCCTCTGAGCTGACTTATGATAAATGGTTTCTTCTCTCTGAACATTCGCCCTCTGGCGGACATTGGAAGGATTTTGCGGAACAATTTTAATGATCGGCATTCCTTTAAAATAAATCAACCAAGTCTGCCTCCCAATTCTCCGCCCTCTCAAGAAGTCAGCACTTGCACACTCCCGGTCATGGATTTAAAAGCATGTGATTGGTGTAAGAATTGTCTGGAGTGAGTTTCCACGATTGCTAAATCCATGTGAGAATGTGTGCAAGTGCACGCTACTAGCACACTTTGGGAGAACCGTAGAAAATCATAATGCAGCTTATGAGACAAGACAAGTACAAGAGACCTTGATAATGGAATAGTACAATTCTTTATATATTTCATTCTTTAATACATGACATACAATTTGTACTGTACATCAG